TTATGCTGTTTCAGTTGTGGTGTTCATTGTAGTGGACATAAAAAACTTGGCTTAGTGGAAAAAATTCAGGTCTGAAGGGAAAGTTTTTCCCTTGGTGCGTGTAAGTCCAGCCAGAGAACCATTGTAGTAGACAAATGAAGACGCAACGACACCTGTGGCCGGCCATGTGCTTGAAGGATCGGCCTTTTGCCAATATAGAATCAATATGTAACTTTTACTTCAATGTTGAGTTGAAAACATGATTGCGGATGTTTGCCTGTAAAATGCTTCAAAGAGTTTTTTTTTTAAATTAATATTCTTAGGTAATAAACATTATACATTTGTGTTAATTGGTGTACATTTATGCATGAGACACCATGTGGCACATGGTGGGGGGAAATATTAAATATTTTAATATTTTGAGGCCTAATCAACACAGGTTCGGAAGTTACGTTATCAATGCAAGGCAGGCAGGCTAGTGGTCACCAAGTAAAGAGGTTTCCCACTCGTTCCATGCAGCATCCATGGGCCAGGCATTGGGCCTGCATGGCATTGTAATGAAACGTTCTTGCGTTCTGTGACACCGGCTTCGTTTACTAGATGGCAGTGGCTGCATTATGTGGAAGAGGCTGGTCATATTTTTTTTAGATTGGTTTGCCTGATAGCAGTCAGAAAAAAAGTCATACCTAGATCCAAATTTAAGAAAGGCAACCCCTTCATGAATGCTAGCTTTTCAAATTGGCGTAAAGCCACTGAAAAATGTTTACGAGTATGATAGATCAGCGCTGTACAGCGGTTTAATAACAACGAGTCATTACAAAAGTTGTCCGCTTTGGATAACGTCCGTCCCATAGATGCTTGCTAATCAGGCACTCATGCCAGAAAGCAGGCTACAGCCCGACACTGTTTGGAGCTTCTCTTCAGGACCACCCGGTTTCTTGACAGCAAAGGAATTGCCTTCAGGGGCGAAAGCAGGCAAATGAATACTGAATGAATTGATGCTGGAGCGCACCTATGATCTCCCTGAAGAAAGAAAGTGGATAGAAGGAAGAGACAACTGGATATACTAGCCTATACAAAATGAGAATTGAAACGTATGCTCATGCTATACAGAGGGAAATTATTGCCTGCTCATCGCACTGCCGATTTTACGTCCTCACAGCTGATGGTACAACTGACATTAGCACCACTGATCAGTTATTCTGCAGTCTGAAATATGTTCACAGCAGCTTGGAGACTCGCATTGTGTTTTGGGGATTTTATAACGCCCGGGACAGAACTGGAGAAACTCTTTTCAGTTGCATCAAGGATATTTTTTTTTAAGACTAAACATCCCCATTGAATGCATCGCAGAATTTTGTTTTGATGGAGCAGCTAATATGTCAGGGTGTTTTTCAGGCGTGCAAGCTCAGCTTAAAGAGTTAAGCCCACACTCACTTTATGTGCATTGCAGCAACCACTCACTGGATTTGATTCTCGAAGAAGCTGCGTATGAAGTTAGTCTTGTGGCCAGTACTTTGAACTTTGTTCTGGCTGTTTCATCGACAATAAGAGAGTCAAAGCGAAAACAGCTCTACCAATCGTTTTTTGGCTGTGATTAGGTTGCTGTCAACATCTTGGGCCTTTTCCCGACAAGGTGGTGTATCCATGACATGTCCATTAAACGCATCACTGCAGCTTGCCCCACTCTCCTGACTACACTGCACAAGCTGAAGGATGACAAGATTGTCAGGGGGAAAGCAGAACAAAGATTGGGGGATTCTACAAACAGGCTTTAAAAGGGAGAACATTTTTCGGTCTTTTATGCTGCCATGCCCTGTTTGAGCCCTGTTAAGCAATTGCCACAAGCCTACAGAGTGGCACAGCAAGTGTGCAGTGTGCACTGGAATGCACATATAGCCACTCTCCGGGATGATGCAGTTGTGGACGAGCTGATCCGCAAGGTTGAAACCTGCGCATCAAAAACCTCCCTGCCAGACACGACCTCCCCTCACCAAACTAGAGAGCATGTGGCGCATGGCGCACAAACAGTGGATTGGCGACATAGCGTTTTCGAGGCTATTGATGTGATATCGACAGAGCTGGACAGAAGATTTGATCAGGTCAGTATGCATCTTGCCGCAAAGCGATAGAGGGCTGCTATCAGTGCAGCGGAAGGAAGGAAGGAAGTAGGTAGATAGGTCGGTCAACCTGGATTCCCTTCAGCTCCCAGAGGAACTTGACACAGACCCCTTGAACTCCAGCTCAAAATACTTAGGCCAAGCATCGCCAAGCAGCTTGTCGATGTCACAAAAGACAGAGGGTCTAAGTGTGTCACAGTCCCAGATTTAGCATCAAGTTTGACAAAGCTCCAGCCACAAACAAGAGCCATGTTTTCAGAAACAGAAGAACTGAGTTATGAACAAGTTATCTCTGTGCCAACCCATCTCTGTGACCTAATCCGAGTGCACTTTATCCGCCTTGTGTCTTTTGGTATGCAGCACCATGACCCAGAAAAGACTTGCACACGTTTCGCTGATGCATGCCCACCCAGACAATTTGAACTCCCTGGACAATCGTCCAATCAATTCTCCACGACCCCAGAGCGCACCTCGACATTTGGACACCTGTAACCTGGGCACCCAGTCTGTAGCTCAGGTAAGAGCATGGTCCTGCCGCGCTTGTAGCATTTATTTTTTTAGACAACAAGTGGGATCAGCTTTGACTAGCCAAGTATTGTTAGTAGTGTTGTATAGTAGTGTTATTTTTGATCGTGTGTTCTTTGCATAATGGATGTGGAGAACTGTTAAATCATGTTTAAATAGTCAAAGATTATTTCCTTGTGGTTTGTTTAAAAAGGTTTAGTTCCCAAAGTTCCCACCCTTTCAAACCCGCCCAAAGGGGGTTGGAACTAATGCGCTAACAGACCTTTCACAGATCAGTGCCAGTGCGTTTGATTTCACCGGCAGAAACTTTTTGAAAATAAGGACGAAGGTACTGAATACGCAGACGGATGCATTATGGAGGATTGGGGTTAAACATAGGGTCAGCCATCTTGTTTTTTGGAAGCTAAGCTAGCTGGCTCTTGTTCTGTGGGGAAAGCTGAGTTGTAGGGGTTACCATCCCCTTTTTCTGGACATGTCTGGCCCCCTGCAGTCATGCTTTCTGCAGTCGCCATTCATTGTTTACATGCACAGCTTTTGTTTCAATCTAACTGAATTCATTCCGATTGGTGAATCTGAATGTAGCGTTTACATGAACGCTAAACAAGTGATCAGTTGATGTGCGTTTTAACATTACTAAGAAATATCCGCTCCTCCGTGAGAGATACAAGATCGGGGGGTCTCACAGGTATCGCTCATCGGTAATCACGCCACCAGCCTCACGCGGTTCTCCAACGGCCCTCAACTCGTCCTGCTCGCCACAGTAAACATAATGAATAGCGACTGTAGAACCCAAAAGTCGAATCCTGGACATTTTGGGCGATCTGGAAATCCCAGGCTAGTTGCCTAGTAGCCTAGACTTGTTGTTTAACGACTGCGCTCTGTTACCGGTAGGTGTGGCTAGGGTTGGGTATCGTTTGAATTTGAACGATTCTGATTCCGATTCCTTGTTTCGATTCCGGTTCCTAACGATTCTCGATTCCGATTCTTTTAAGAGGCAGGGTCAAAAAAGTTTAGCTAACCTTGCTAACCAACGGCCTTTCTGAAAGAAATAATCCTTTCTGAAGGAAATACTCCATCTGTAAAAATACTCCTTTTGTCACAAATTTTGCATTTTGCCGAGATTTCGTTATTTTTGGAAAAGCGAAGCCACGCTTTGGATCGCCGAGGTAAGCTACTCATGTTCGACTCGCGTGGTTATGCCAACACTTCCGGTAGACGCTTCTTCGTTGGTGTTGTTCAGCGGTTTCTTCTTCTGCTCGGCGGACTGTGAATATTGAAACTAGGAATCGAAATTTTAACTTTTGAACGATTCCGGGAAAAACGAAAAGTTAGTCTCGGTTCCAATCGATACTCGATTCTCGATACCCAACCCTAGGTGTGGCCTTCTAGGGCAGCAAAGCAAGTGACAGAACAGATGAATCAGGCCACATTTTTGTTGTCAAAAGTCTTTTGATCTTGTGTGTTCTCATGTAAACTTGTGCTTATGACTAGTACTATATTGTGATTTTCAAGTTGAAATTGTACAGTATGTAGCGCATAACAGTGAAATATGTATTTAAGGTATAGTGGCATATTTTGTTTTTTGTTATTTGGGATAGGGCCATTTGAATATTTGGGCTGGTTTAAGCTTGTTTTATCCTATTCACATTTCTAGCCTCTCTTTTTTTAACTGAAGAAAATTAGCGAAAATAATAGCGGTACATTACCATTTAGGGAACAAGTCCATGCTTGCTACATAGTAATGTATTTGTACTACAGCAGTAGAAAAACAAAACAGTTTAAAATCTAGAATCAGTTCCATTTTTAGCCATAGTTAAGCATGGAATGGTACTTTTTTTTTACTAGTATTGCTTAGTAAAGGGAAAAATGCTTGGAATAGCATAACTAGCATGTTTGAACTTGTAGGGTACAACAGGGCTATAGCACATCTTAAGGAAAACATGCTTTTTGTTAGTCAAGGAGGGAGGTATGAACACACACACACCTAATTATTGTCTTAATTATTATTAACCTAAACTTAATTATTAAGTATTTGTTAGCTTTTATCTGTTGTGGTTTATCTTTTTTTCATTTTGTGTCATCTTGTTGCATTAATATTTGTTATTTCTTTCCCTAAACATAGACTGGTGTAGAAATGCATTTGCGTTATAAATACATTCACTCAGTTTCAAAACCAACATGCAACTCAGAAGGAGCACGAGCACAATGCGATCACAGCCACACACTTGTCACAAATGCCCACATAATATACGACATCAACGTTAAAAGCAACATGATTAATGGGACTCTCAAAAAAGAGGAAAGGATATATGTGAGAAAAAATCTATTACTATAAATTCAATGAACTATTCAAAAACAATTAAGATAATTACTTACCGAACCGTGACTGGAATCTGTTGTTTAAATGACAGATCATGTGCAAAAACCACCGAAACTGCTACTTTGACAAGAATCACTTCCTTAGACAAATGTACAAATGGTTCCTCCCACACAATGATAAAGGTCTGTTTACATGCCATATCAGTCCAGTGGTTTTATAAGTGACATATAAAGAGTATTTTCTGTCAAGTCATGCCTTGGTCACATTTCACACCAGAATCAGAAAGAAAAGCACATTAACTTAATTTATCATTAACTACATCTTAATCTAGATGCTCACAAGTTTTTGAAAAATTAGTTAAAAATTAAGAAATTAGTTGATCTTTTCCCACAAACATTCCTCTGTTGTCTCATGCTTTTTTCAGATCCTTTTAATGCATTCCCAGATGGGAAGAAAAAAAACAATGTTCCACATTTCCTACTTCCTCAAAGTTTATTGGTCAAATAATCTGCTTGTTATGCATATTCATTTATCATAGAAAAGACTTGTACTTCTGTTTACGATGTATATGTTTTTACCTCATAACCATATTTGTGGAAGTTTTACTCTTTAGAAGACTGAAACGTGTCCACTTTAACATAATTGAAGATGAACAGGAAATTCTGTGCCGTAAGTGGATTCCTTCCATCAGATAACTACATTTCCTTGCATATCAGTCAAAATCAAACCCCTTACATGGCTCGAAAGCTTCATTTGTCCCGTTACATTTAAGATTTCCCTGTAAACAATCATTCTGTTGTCCTCCCAAAAATACTCTTTTCATAATCATTGTAAATCGAGTAGAACAAAACTAGAAAGCCTGGTTTCAATATATTGCATAATACATGTTCCACACAAAAAGTTAAAATCAGGGTTTGAAATGAACTTTTTCACTCACCAGCCAATTTGGGTACTACAAAATTTTTTAGTGACCGGCCATTGAGAACTTCTACTAGCTAAAACAAAATGATCATTAATAAATCAGATTATCAAAGTTACATCTTGGATTTAAATATATTTATTATAAAAATCGGATTTTGAATCATTGAATCGCCTTTAGCCTTTTGATAGCCATTTACCATTCACGCATAGCGATAAAATTAAATAAAATAATATTCACTGTGACTTGCTTGTAATTTTAACAGCATTTATTTGTTGTGAACTCCCAAAAAAGCTAATGATTAAATTTAAATGTTCAATTTCTGACTGGCTGTCAATTCATGCCTCTTTCAACAGTATTGACTGCAAATGCTTCTTCAATAGAAGCCACGAGTTTACCTGTGCATAGCAATAAAGATGCTATAGGGAGCTTTTTGCGCTAAAGTCTTGGATATGCAGCATTCATGAGACTGGGTGGGAGAAGGTGGCCTCTTAGGACTCCTAACACTTTGTAGGCTACTTGCATTCTCAAGTTCAAGGTGGCAGTCCAAAATAATGAATCTAATCACCATACAGGCAAAAGTTCACTTCAAGAATTAACAAAGTGGCATCAATGAGTTTGAATTACAGTATTTGGGGGGAACAAAAACAGCCCAAACGTAAAGGCAATCTAGGCTATATTATTATAAAGCAAAATACTTTTTCACTAAAGAAAGCATTAAGAAAGCCTTGGTCCCTCTACTTGGAAAATGGAGTCTTAGGATTGGATTTTATATTCACCAGTGGGCTGCAGATCAATACGGAGACGGAAAATATTCAAGTCAATTCCCAACAAGGACTATCCTTTCCAGTTTGGACAAGCTAGCATTTCCTCTAGAGGAATCCAGCATCTGAAAACAAAAGCACAACATAAAAATAAAGAGTGAACTCTCACATTGTTCAACTCTTTTCCTCCACAGCAAATGCCAGGGATGTTCAGTGACCAGATAACGTGGATGACAAAACTAAGCACAGCCCACTTACCACCTGAGGGAAAGTGCCAACTGTGTCCCCTCTCAGAGAACAATCCTCAAGCCTGCATCCTCCATCTCGGAAGAACAACAGTACTCCAGCATTGTCTTTATACTGTCCGTCATGTACCCATCAAACAGCGTCCACACCGATTAACCCCAGAGAAACAAGATGTGGTCCAAGAACATGTTAAAAAATACCTATACAGGCCTAAAATAGGCCTCACCTTTTTCCTGGTCCCAAAGAAAGATCCCAGCCCCAGCCATCCGGTCCTGCTGAGCCATTTCCGGCGCTGGTCACAGACCCGCCTATCAGACAAGTGCGTGTCTAAAAGTGAACTGGAACGCAGCCCAGGTGTCCTTTGGGAGTCGAGGAAGGAACTCGAGAGGGGCTCACTGCAGTGCTCATCCTGGAGAGTTGCTGTTCCAACAGCGGCCTTGGCCAAGGCCAGTGCTGGTTGAGGGCGGACCATACCACAGACAGAGCAGAGGTTGCTGGGGCTTGGGAGGGTGTCATAGGTGGACCTTACCTTTCTATAGCAACGCTCTCCCACATATTAAGCTATTACAAGTGCGCTTATTTCCATCATTGGTATAAGTAGCAGCAGGTGGAATAGACAAAAAATGTGCAGTTTTTACAATCTTGCTGACAACATTTCTTTAGTCATTCGGCAGTCTTGCAACTTGAACCCCTGCAAGAAATCCACCCTTAAACTATCTGGGATATTTTTCTTAAAATATTGACAGGGTTAAATTGGCATAAATGGCACCCGAATTTATTAACCTAACTCTAATTGTTTGTTCATTTTAAATGTATTTATCTGGCCGCCACAATTACAAAGTTCTGAACCTCAAAACTTAAAGGAGCAATGTGTGACTTTTAGCCACATCTAGTGGTTCGGTTGCGAGTTTGCACCAGGTTTGCACTAAGGGCTCAGCCCACTGCTCACCCCTCCCTTTCGAAGAAGCTACGGTTGCTAAAACGGGAAAAACATCTCGTCGGCTGAGACAGCAGAGAATAGCCAGAGTAAGCCAAGAGTGTGTAACATTGTCACTGTTTCTGTACCACAGTCCATTATAAACCACATCATGAATACTGTCTGTTTACAAAGCCATAGTCAGGTGAGGATCAAGGGTTTTAATATATAATTTAATAAAATAATAATCAGCTGATTGTCTCACAAACGTAACCAGCAGCACATTTCTCCCCACATACTAGCAAACCCATAATACAGCAAGGGAGCAGCTATATATTTTTTCTAACAGAGTAGTAATAGTTTAGCTGGCTAATATGAGCTGTTACTGTGGCTGAGCTGGGACGCGTCTGCATGAGTCCAAAGGTCGGAAGTGCGCGCGCTGTTACAATCATGTCATCTCCGCATCCCATAGATACTATTTACTACACACAATAGGCTTTTTTTTCTCTGATTTTTAAAATTCTTCGCGATCGACTTTAGTGATAAAAGACTTTAGTAAAAGTCTCTATCGACGGGTTAGTCAGTGATTCCTGTAACGTACTGTTTTACGGTCAATGACATGAATACTAATCATCAGCTGTCTCACGAACGTAACAGCACATCTATCCCCAACATAACAAACCCATAACACAGCGAGGGAGAACTAAGTTACATGAAACAATCCCAACTACATATTTTACACCACTCACAAGGGAAAAGTCACTACTCACGGTGTGTAAGGCTAGCTTCCAGCTTTCCGCTACTTCTCTTTCAAGGTAGTGATGAAACGCGTTCTGTAGCACTGTGTGTTCGCGTTCGGCTACGGTAGGAATATGACGTCACAACATGGCGACCTTCATAGAAGGGGATTCCCGCGGTTATGGAGCTATTAATGTCTCATTATAAGGTAATAAAAACATTACGGCTAATTAAGTAAGTTCTTTATACACCACTGAAAACATAGTTATGGATGTCATATTGCATTTCTGTTAATAGATACTCAACTTTGTTACACATTGCACCTTAAAATCACACAAGACATTTCGCTACAAAATGACACGTGGTTGATGATCTTAAAACACAAACCAGTATTATATTTCAGCATAAACAATACTTTGCTAAACAGGTACTGTCTAATCTAATAAACATTTACAATTTATTTATGACTGTAATCTCGCACATATAGGGTCAACTCAAGTGTATACTTTAACATTTTGGACAACCAATTATTATTATTTTTTTTGTACATTTACATCTTGGTTATTGTTTTCTTTCTCACATTTAGATGCTGGAGGAAAAACAGCCAGGCTGAAGCATTCAAAGTGTACATTTCTGTTGTTGCTCAATAATATAAGATTGGGATGGTGGAAGGAGCAGAAAAACCAAATCAGAGGGAACTGATTTAATGAATGTGTCAAATTGAACCAGCAATTTTCATTACTCACCTACCTTCATGTCGTTCTAAACCTGTTAGACTTTCGTTCATCTTCCAAACACAAACTAAAGGCAAGGGTATCTCCTTGATTTGCTTAATAAAATCCTACTTTGAGGTTCTGTTGATAAACATGTTTTACATTTTGTGAACATATTCCACTCTTGTGCTAAAATTAGTAACAATGTTTACTTACGGACTGGTTTTCTGTTGGATCCCATGTAGGTTTTCTCTTAGTTTTGCTCTCCTCATATTTAAATAACAGCCTGTTTGCAAGGCCTACTGTTCACTCTGACATTCACAAAACAATTGTGCCTCACAATATACTGACAATAGTTATAAGATACACAATAAATTATGTATGTAAGAGCAACAGTTTGTCATGAACATTATACCCGCAACACTATAGTAAAGGGACACCGTTGGCGGAACTAGGAGGCAGATTGAATAACACGCTTAGGTGATGGGAAGGTAGGTGATAAAGTTTCTGGAAATATCCCTAATTAAACATTTTTTTTGAGCCAGACCAAACTCAACTAGGACTCAACTAAGCAACCAGTTCATATGGAAAGAACCCAGGAAACAGGGGCCGCATCTAAATTCAGGTTATGCAGAGAAAGCCAACCTGCCGCCACACAAATATCTTCCAAAGGAACTCCCCTAAAATGTGCATGGGAAGACGCGATACTCCAAGTAAGAGTGAGTTTTAAAGGGTTAGTTCACCCAAAAATGAAAATGAAGTCATTAATTACTCACCCCCATGTTGTACCAACCCCGTAAGACCTTCGTTCGTCTTCGGAACACAAATGAAGATATTTTTGATTAAATTTGAGAGCTGGATCACTACATAGGCTGCCTAAGGGATCGAAACTTGACGGCCCAGAAAGTCATTGAAGAAAATGTTTAAATATTCCATGTGACTACAGTGGATCAACTACAAGTTTATCCTAAATTAGTATAAGTTTATGCCTAAATTAACTAAATTAATAACTTTTTACAACAAAAATGAACCATCACTGAATTTATTTAAACTGGACTGTGACTGTATTTTCTTCTAGATCTGTTATACCAAAACAAAATTTGTTCTAGTATTTTCATGTTGTCTCTGTAAAGCTGCTTTAAAAGTACTATATAAATAAAGGTGACTTGACTTGACTAGTACATTCAATGTATTTTAACTTTAAATGTAGTTTACACACACACACACACTGTCTAGTCTTGTTTACGACTAGCATCCAGTCAATCTCTACATAGGAGTAATAACCTGTATCTGCCTACCTTCATCATCCTTCTCCACAGACTCTTTTCATTGGACATCTTATCTTCATCGTGATTGCCTGATACCCTAGTGAAGGGAAACCGGAGCTTTCTAAAGCTTTGAGGCTTTCATCAAATTGAGCCAAAAAACAACCCCCCCCCCCCCCCCCAAAAAAAAAAAAAACCCAAACAAAACAACAACAAAAAAAAAAAACAGTTTATTACTTTTAACTGAAGCTTTTAACACAGTGCACATTAGTGACATCTGGTGGTCAGACGTGTTTTAACATCATATGCAGAGCAGAACCATGTGACCAAACAATAAAAAAACAGTTCTATCTTCTCATCTAAATTAATTTGTGCCAATGAGATCTCAACTCATGTCATGTGGTCAACAGATTCACATATTGATCAATAATATAAAATATAAAAGTAGGCTATGTGATAATATAGATTAAAAGCCAGAAAACACTAATGTTGTTAATTAATGTGATCTTGCTTTTCATTGGCATTGATTGAAGCATTACAAGTATTACAAATGCAATATCTTTTAGTTATGTAAAGTAATTAATATGCAATTTAGATTTATAATGGTTAATACTTCATACAGAGTTTACAGGCTTAACAAAAGAGGTGGTCTGATCCTGGGAAGGCCGGTTTCGTCTGGAGCGCTTGGTGAAATAAATTTCAGCATACTGGAAGAGGAAGAAAACACAAATACAAATGAATGGCCATTACCCATCACTGTGTGACATGATGTACATTCAGACTATAGGTCTTTGTGTGTATTAATAATGTTTATTATTAATAACTGTGTTGGCAAACTAAAAGTGTTTGCAGAATTTGTAAAATTGTTATTTTTACTCGGGTGTGCTTGCTTGTGCAAGTAAAGGCAGCTGGAAAATGTATTAAACGTGTAGAATACTTTCCAAGCCATTACATATAGTATTATAAATTCAGACGTTTGTGATATATATAAAAAATAAAACATAAGATTATCTTTTAAAATCGATTGAACACAGAGCAGTTTTTCATATATATAAAAAATAAAACATAAGATTATCTTTTAAAATTGATTGAACACAGAGCAGTTTTTCCAGTGAGTGAGACTGGAAAACCCGTAATGGACAGAAGCGGAGTGACAACAGAACGCTTGGAGTGCAGAGAGGAACGTGCTTTGACTCCAGTCCTGGCTTTGTCTTGTGTCTCGCATGCACTCTCGCTCTAGATTAGAGGATAACTAATTTGCGGTAAAACTAGTCGATCACGAGTGGCTCACTCATCTTTCAGGGATTTTACCCAGCAGCTTGAAACTTTAGCATGAGAAATCGGGGTGTGGCATGAGAGCGTGAGAATTGACTCAATTGCATGAGTTTCACGCTCAATGTGTGAGAGTTGGCAGCCCTGGAGCATAGAGCAAAGAATTTGTGGTCAAATTCAAACTAATATAATAAAAATAAATTATTTAAGTAATGTAGAATTTACACTTTAGAATACAATTCCTTCGTTAATGAATAACTACACAAGAACCAATGAGTAACACAATATTAACAATCTAGTAACTATTAACTAACAAGAAACTCTGATTAACGAACTAGTAAGTAATAGCGCACAGACGAAAGTGGTAGTTCACTATTAAGTAATCAATAACTACTATTTTTAATACTTCCCAGAGAAATACTGAAAAAGTTTATTAACAATCTAGTAACTACTATTAACTAAAAAGAAACTCTGATTCTGAATTATTAAGTAATATCTCACAGATGAAAGTGTTACTAGATACTTCTGTGGGAATTACTAATTATTTGGATCCGTATTATAAAGTGAAGATCATTGGAACTAACTAGTAATTACTCAAGTGTTACTACATGATCATGATTTGTGCAAACAAACACTTAAGTCATTTCAAGCGTTTGAGATTTTTGGTGAACTTAAGTATACTTTTTGGAAAATTTCTTTAGAAACACTTGAGTCATTAGTTCCAATGATCTTCACTTTATAATACGAATCCAAATAATTAGTAATTCCCACAAAAGTATCTAGTAACACTTTCATCTGTGAGCTATTACTTAGTTTGTTAATCAGAGTTTTTTTTTTTTTTTTTTTTTTAGTTAAGAGTAGTTACTAGATTGTTAATAAACTTTTTCAGTAGTTTTCTGGGAAGCATTGAAATAATAGTAGTTATTGATTAGTTAATAGTGAAGAACCACTTTCATCTGTGTGCTATTACTTACTAGTTCGTTAATCAGAGTTTCTTTTTAGTTAATAGTTACTAGTAGATTGTTAATATTGTGTTACTTATTGGCTCTAGTGTAGTTATTCATTAACGAAGGGACCGTATTCTAAAGTGAAGTATCTTACCTGTGGATCATTTGTGTTTTGAGCTTTGGTGGTATTTTGAGGTTTCTCTGAAGTATTTTTAGATCTTCTAGTTGCGTCAATGCAGCTCTTCAGCAAACCTGAAACAACAGTGAAGAAACATCACTGAGACACTTCTTGACAGTTTAAGAGCAGATATGATATGGCTGTATAATTCAGTGCAATTTTGCAAACCTATCACTGCAATGATCAGAAGCACATTCAGCAGGACAGATATGATGGTCATATTTCTCCATGGTATCTGCTGTTGTGGAGCGTCTTCTGTCTGATTCCTGTGGACCGAGTCTGTAAAATGTTTGTAGTTTAATCTATTTAGTTTCAGTCTTTTACAGAACAATTAAACTAGTATTAGTTCTTCATACAGTATATTAAATATGGACATCATGTGGTTTAAAAAGACATGAAATGATAAAATAACTCACCGCTGATGTAGATTTTGGTGCCGTTGCTGATTTTTAGTGGATGACTACTTTTCACACAATAATAAACTCCTAATTCATCAATGGTGATATTCTTGATGAACAGACGACTTTTAGTTTTCACTGAGTATTTGTGTTTATAGGTGATGTTTTCATATTCACCTTCTCCTTCATATGTGCTGCTGGAAGTGTGTAAGATCAACACTAGAGGATCCGGTAATTTCAGTTTGTACCAAGAAATCTTCTTTATATCAATATCACAGGTTATAATCACATCAGATCCTAAAGTTACTGGTATGTTTGTTAGACTCTCTGAGGCTTGATACAACATGAACAGATCTATGACAGAAAGAAATACACATTTATTAAGATATAAAATCTAAATAAAACTGATTTAATGAAATGTGTCATGAGAAACTCACAGATCTGCAGCTGTATGATCTTCATGATCTGATCCAGATGAATAATATCTGCTATAGTGATCATCCACACATCTCGTACTGTGTGCGGAAACACAAACCTCGACCACACAGACGAGAGGAAGTCAGAGTTGGGCTTCTCTGAGAATATCATCTTTCTTAGATGTTTAAATCAACATCATATGTTGAAGTAAGTAATACTTATATATAATATAAGTATGCCAGAGCTACAAATCGTATTTCAGATTAATATTTAATATGGTTATCTGCATTCATGGCTGTGGGAAGAGGTTTTAAGTTGGGGGTGCTGTAGTGGGAGGTGCATTTTCAGGTGAATATTTATCATATTAATCTTGTAACCAGACTCCGTTGCACACAGCCAGACACGTACAAATAGTCAAGACAGTTAAACATGTCCAAAAGGTTATAACATATTCACAAAAGCAAATATTTATATTTTAACAGCACATATATATTAGCCTACGCTATTTAAACTTCTAGCTTTGTCATGGCACAGACACACACTTAGAGAACACAGCTAATGAGAACATAAAACAGCTTATGCATAATTAAAACGGTCCACAGGCTGACAGTGCACACGGAAATATCCAAATGAAGAGTTCAGATGCAAAAGCCTCTAAGTGCCGTTTGAAATTTTCTCCTAGAATGATCATTTTTATCAAGCTTGCTTTTTAAGTTCAGTAATTTCACTTAAATTGCAATGAAGATTACCTATTAATTGTCATTTAAGTGAAATTACTGAACTTAAAAAGCAAGCTTGATAGAAATGATCTTTCTAGGAGAAAATTTCAAATGGCACTTAGAGGCTTTTGCATCTGAACTCTTCAAATATAGGCACATTTTCACTTTTTCAAAAGCCGAATTTGTACAGCACACAATAATATAACCAAATACATTTTTGCAGCAAAATTATCAGTGTGAAATTAATGCGTAATTTGTCTGACGTTAAACTGCTCATTGGAAGCTCATAATAAACCAAATGTTTTACCTTGAGCAGGGAGCCCGTTACATTACTCCCAATGTGGCTTGGCGCTCAGGAGTTGAGTAGATAAAGTCTCTCATGAGGGAATGGATGTCCAAAGCGTTCAAAATGTCTGTGTGGATATTCATTAGGGACAAGTGTGTGATTCTCTTCTGTGTCATGGTGGACCGTAACCATGTTTTAATCAGCGCAAGTTGGAAAATGATCGCTCGGATGAGGCCACTGATATAGGCAAACACAGACACAATTGTATGAGTTTTTCAGCCTCAGTAAACAGAGCTCTCGTTTGAGGATGGAGCTTAGATAGGCATGATACTGTACTATGGTGCGTGGGTAGTAAGTTGTAGATTGAAGGTAATGATGAAATGATCTGAAACGTGGAGAGGTTTCACCAAAATGTTGTCTGTGATGCAATTGCATGTGTAAACCAGGTCCAGTTGGCTGCCTGACTTATGGGTACCTGTGGTGATGAGCCGTTTGAGATCAAAGGAGGCTAGGAGAGAGATGAAGTCTGCAGCATACGGCTTCTCTAGATGAATGTTGAAGTCGCCAAAGACTACAAGTGGGATGTCATCCTCAGGGAAGGAGGAGAGCAGCACATCCAGTTCCTCTACAAAGCTTCCCAGTTGACCTGGGGGGCGATATATGACTACTGTGTGGATCTTAATGGGAGTTAGCATGATATTCAAATGAGTTGTTATTGCATAGAAAAGCCACAAGGCTTACTTCACTAGCTAGATCTTGAAGCACCAAGTCCAGCGCATGGTTGTTACAGTGTACATATTGACTGAGGGTACAATTCTTTGAGGCAAGCCGGCACTCCTGAAAAGCACCCGGACATATTACTGGCTCCATTAAAGCAGTATGCTACAAGGCGTTCGATTGGAATGTCTCAAAAACACATCCTTGATACAGGAGAAAAGAGTTTGTCCAGTGCTGTTCTGTTCATTATAAAATACTAAAAATGAACAGTGAGACTCCAGGCTGCCGTCAACAAATTGCAAATTATACGAGAACTACTCTGTTGTGCTCACGTGGTCCGTGTACTTTTTCGTTCATTCATTATTCTATTTCGGAATGAAAGATGAAATTTAAAAAACTGTGCAACTTGGTTTTTTGTTTAAAAGAAAAAAATCAAAAATGGCTGTATTTTGTTTTCCAAATGTATTGTTGTCATCAAATAATATTATTAGAAAATTGGACGACATTTCCGATCGTTTTTTTAATCTGTAAAATTTATTTGTGCGTTTATTGTATTTCAAATGACACAGAGCCGGTGTTGTGCCTATTTTCGACCCTCCGCCTTGTACCAATACAAATTAATAAAACATCTCCAGTTGACTTTCAGACCATTCAATTTGTTCGTTTGTCAAGTGATCAAAGTGCTCGTTGCCGAAGTAATGGTTATGAATATAACAAGGAGACATTTGAATTGTTTTTACGTGTCATTGTTGCCTGCAAAGATGAAGTCGACAATGCTGATCGTGATCTTCGCAGTAGTGAACGTGCGAGAGAGAACTGCACATTTCATATGGATGGATTACATAAACAGAGAGCAGTCTGTTTTCTTTCGTTTTGGTGCGTTCCATCGTCAGTTCGTAAAGGATTCCATCACATGTGGTGTCACCCCTGAACGGTATCCCCTTGCTTCCCAGGAATCTGATTGATCTAAACAATAGTTCCAAAACATGTCGAGCAGTCTCCTGCTTTTCGGCAAGAGCATCCAACAGGAGGGCATTGATAGGCATATTACCCAAAGCAGCGTGTCTCTGAACTGAATCCATGTGTAACTTTGATCATTCATGTTCCTTGAATTTTGCAGTGGTTTACGCAAGTTTCCAAAGTCGTCTGACACGAATGTTAAAATGGTAAAAAAAAAATGGCCTGCATTTCAAAGACCCAATGGTCACCAAAGTGCTTTACATTTGCCTAACATTCACCCATTCACACACCGATGGCAGTGTCAGCCATGCAAGGCACCATCCAGCTCGTCGGGAGCAGCTGGGGTTAGGTGTCTTGCTCACGGACACCTCCAAACTTGGTCAGGTGGAACCAGGGACTGAATCACCAACTTTCTGGTTTGTAGACAACCAACCCAATCTCACGGGAATTCGTACGAATTTTACGAGGTGGCTAATTCGTAACAATTCGTACGACCTCACTCGTACGAATTAGTACGATTTTGCTAAATTGTAGATATTGTACGAATTAGCCAATTCGTATGAATTCGTACGAATGGCCTACCCCTGACCCCGCCCCTAAACATAACCGTCACGTGGGTTTAGACAAATCGTACAAATTCATACGAGTGAGGTCGTATGAATTAGTACGAATTAGCCACTTTTGAATCACTCGTACGAATTCGTACGAATTGGTCGTGAGATGGTGTAGCAACCACCTACATGAACCACTGAACCACTGCCGCCCTCAGAAAGGGTTGTCTGCCCTAAAACTTTTTTTCTATTGCTTTTTTAAGACGAGTAAAACACAAAACTCGATTGGTCTCAGTCACGTAATGCAGCCACCTCTGTGAATGCTGGTGTGAATGCACGACTGAAAGTTTATGTTACAAAATGTCCACTAGGAAAAACAAAGTTAGATGGCTTGAAAGGCTCCTCAAATGCAGCTAGCGTGCTAAATATAACACCACAACCTTTCCTGTGTTCTCTGGACTTCCGTTGTGCTCTTTTTAGAAGCTGGTGTACAAAATAAATCCAAAATTCGTTTCTGTGCCATTATGATATCTAGATGCCTTCACTGTTGCAACGTGACATCGGTTGACAATGACAATGATCATTCACATTATTTTAATAATTAATAATTATTTAGTTTTGCTCAAAACTTCCTCCTGCATAAACTTCTTAGGTTAATATAGGTTTTTAATATGCTTATTTATTTATTTTTTTGCATCTGTCAGAGAGTGCTGTAATGTCTGCTTTTTCCAACGGGGGGTGCTGCTTACTTCACAGGTGATTAAACTATTCGACCTCTACTTTATCTCTTTATCCCTTATTCCAGAAGAGCCAGTCCGGCAAAACAAATATTCTTTTCAGTTATATTACATCTAAGGGAGTTTTATTTTCCCGGTCATCAATATATTTGTTTTTCTTAGCCTTTATTAATAGGACAGCGAATATATAAGAAAATATATGTATACTTTTGGAAACTGAAAATACATTTACATTTTTTTTTCATTTAGCAGACATTTTTTTTCAATCCAGCTTGCAAATAAAGGACATAACCAGCAAGTTATCACAAGAATTGTTTACATACATGTTATGTACTGTGTGTGTATATTTACTGTTCTTTTTTCTATTTAACCAGGCTGTAACAAAAATAAAAATACTGGAAAATAATGTAGAAAAAGTTTTTGAGTTGTGTGTTATGTGCAACTTAAAGGGTACATATCATGCTTTTAAATCATTCATTTTTACATAAATCATACCGTTGTGGTCTATATAAAACATAACTGCAATGCTTGGGTCTGAATTCCTCATTATTATAGCTCCACAGGCCCCTTTTCTACCCCTTTTCTGATGTGCGTCTTTGAGCGACCCGTTTCAAAGCGGCCCCTTTAAATAAAAAGGGGATGCGTCACACCCCGCCCGCTCTCCGGGTCGATGAGTTCACGGTCAGTTCAACTCCCCGCGTTCGGCCATTATTGTAGTTTGATTAGAGATATACGATTATATACGATACCTTCAAAGAACATTTTTATTCACACGTTAACAAAATGTCAACAAGAAGACTTGTCCATCAAGCCTTACATATTCGAGCCAGAGCGAGCGAGTTGATAAAGACGACGAACCTGCAGAACAACCTCTTCCTCATATGAATGTATTGGTATGTGAGTTAACTGTTTTGTGTTATTAGTGAAAGTCGACTATTTCTCTTGTTAAAACAAGCACACTGACAAGATAAATGACTACGGCCTAATCTTACCACAAACAATCTGTATTGATAATATGATACGTTTAGAAAAGCATCAGAAAAGCAGCTAAATGACCATTGATGAAACTCAAGAACAATAATACTGCAGACGTGTAACGTTACTTCAAAACAAAAACAAAGAAAGACAAAGGTACTGCTAAACCATGACCACCATGTGTTTTAAGAAAAGTACTTTATTTTTATTAACGATATTTACAGCTTATCGAAATGCTCTGTTCGTCGTCTCCAAAGATAGAAGGAATTTACCTCTC